GTATATCTATCACGCTTTTCTCCTCCTCTTTTTATTGGCCGTGTGTGTATAGCACAACCACTTATGTTACTCGGCTTGGGTATTTTTGCTGCCGCGGAAAAGATAAAATTAGCGCGATCCGCTGTCACTTTGACTTTTTCTAACTGATAAAAACCGAAGATGCGTATAGAGAGTGTCCGAAATTTCATTACTCGAAACGAGGCAGAGTTCCTCTTGGAGAAAGCTGACGACACTGATCCCAACGTACACAATTTTTGTCAACGATTTAATTGTATCGATGCTCTGTATACCTGCAAAAATGTTACCACACGAACTTTACGATTATCCGATAAACATACAGAATAATCGATTTTCTTTGAATTTTTCAACAAATCTGCTATCTGAATATAAAAAATGTTATTCATTTTGCTCAGCAATGTCATAGGTTCTCTTATGGGTAATAGGAGCAAATACAATTGTCGTTTCGAACAATTTTTCGTCGCGAGCGTACGCGAGAATCCGTTCTTTGCGAAGATTCTTTCGTCGTCTTCGTCTTCGTCGTGGATCTTTTTATCCCTTCGCCACCACTGCCGATTCGTACGTTCCTGGATATCCCCACCACCGGTGCGATGATCTCCTCCCCCTTCCCTGTTTTTTCTCTCCCTCTCTAACCGTCCTTTCTCGCTATACTTGTACTTCCGGTCGCGAGGCTAGCGCGAAATTCTCGCAAAATAAACGGGAGGCACGGCTCCATGGATAACTCCCCGATCCTCTACCATGCCCCTACTTACTCCACCCTGTATCGCGTACGTATTTTTAACTATTGACTCGTTACCGGTTGCTCCGCCTAAACTTCCTGCCGCCTCTGTCAGGAAGAGGAATGTACGTCGTCGACGAAACCATTGGGAAACCCACTTGTTCGTCGCGAAATGTCCGACTTACGAAATTTACCCTTAGCCAAAAGATTCGATGTTCATATAGCTCCTTTTTAATAAACAAATCCAAACATCGAAAGAATATTAGATCAAGGATATTCTGTTAGCGTTTAATTTCCACTTACGTGGATCTAAGTGTTATAAAACTTTACGTTTCTACGTCTAGCTAGAACGAAGATGATGAGCGTGTCATAGGCGTGCAAAGGGTTAAAAGTCGCACGGCGGACACGTTCACCGGGTAAAGTCGTAATCAGTCGTCGTGGAACGCGCGTCGCGGCTCGATCTCGTAACAATTTCCTCCAGCGGATCGTCGTCTATTGCGCAAACGTTGGAGCGTCGATAGAAAATCGTCACAGTAGTTTCTCTCTCTTTTTCTATGCAGAAGAGCAGCGGCTCTATGCGTCACGAAACAGTCACGCGTACGTATGCGATGCATCGTCGTCTCTAGCGGTCTCCCTTCGCTATACGACGTCCGTGGTATAGGTCAGTGAAGTAGTAGCTCCCCCACCACGCGCCTCCTAGACAACGGGTCTACGATTGACTCATCTAGCCAGTCATACGGCGCGTAAACACGATGCCGCTCCAGCTGTTTCTCCCAGCCCTCTTTTACTCTCGATCACTCTCGTCTCGTCTCTTTCCTGCTCGCGTTGGTCTATGTACACGGGATCCTGAGAACAACGGGGCGTTCTCTTTATTTTTAGAGCCACCTCGAGAATTCGGTTCCCCCGCCCCCTCCCGTCTTTTTGTCCTCCGCGACATTCGGTGTGTGTGTTTTTTTTCCACTTCCCCTCTGGTGCTGGCTCGGAAACGGAGACGGTCAGAATTTTATTCGAATAATAGACGACGAATGGTAACCTCGTCGCAACGATTTATTCACAATGTTTACTCGTTTGTTAACCGTTCGATGTAAAACATCGTTTCATTATATAACCCGGGCTCTAACTTTTATCGAACGAGCAACGGATCCAATTTATCTTTTATTTGTCGCTCGACATTTTTTAAATCGAACGAGAATTTTCTTCCTCTCTGAATATTGTTATTATCGTTAATCGTCTTTATCGTGCGTGTATATTACATGTAAGAAATAGAAATACAGCGATTTAGGTGTTACGTTTATTCGAATCATTTGTTATTCTATTCGTTCAACGTGAAACGTAATTTGACTGTGAAATTCAGACGGTAATTTTTATTTTAAGAAACGAATCAGAAGTTGTTTGTCTTGTATCGGCCGTTGGATATTTTTTATCCGGATGAAAATTTTGCCCGGCCTTGACTCGGAAGCAGAAAAGCATCTCGAATAGAGAGAGGAATCGTTCAACCGCGCGCGCCTCCGCGGAACTACGGCGAACGACGTAGCGAAAGAGGGCCGCGATCGGGGCAGGGGGACGGAGGGTAGAACGAGTTCCGATTTTAGCGCAGTCGCGGCGGCCTCCGAACGAGCGGCGCTATTATGCACTAGTAGCTTGATGGCGTCACCCGTGCAACCTTGGCTCGGGTCAGTCCTCTATCATACTGCAGCCAGAGTTCCCCTACCCCTTTTGTTTTCCCTCTCCTTCTTCGTTGCTTTTTCCGTTCTCTCTCCTTCTCGACGCTCGTTCCCTCTTGCCCCTTCAGCGTCGCTTCGTCATCCTCCCCCTACTCCTCTGTTCCCTTCATTTGGCTCCGCTTAACCCTCTCCTCTCCGCGCGTCTCTTTACCCCGACCACCTCTCGCTTCTCCTCTTCGCGCACACACGCCACTGGCCACACGACCAGTGGCGTACGTATACTTTCTATTTCGGGGCACCACCTTCTTCCCGGGAGTTCCTTCTTTTCGTAGAAGCCGGTGTACGATTCCGCGACGAAATTTCAATCTCGACGCCCTCAATTCGCTCGAATAGGATCGACGAAAACTGTTGACGGTTACCATTGCGCGAATCCTCGGGAAAAATTGAACATTCGTATGTGGTGAATTCGACGAGTACTTATCATGTTTCACGAATGGATATTATATTATCGTTTAATTTGTCTACATATTTTTGTTTCTTTACTCTTTTATTACAATTATTCCGAAGACGAGCAAGTTGTTGGTGGCAAAGTTTTAATTACATTGTTTACTTCAAAACCATATCAAAAGTGAGGTTAAGTTGAGTCACCTCGCCTCTTTGTACTCTTTAATTCTTTGCGTACGATGTCATGAATTTCATTCATTAAAAACCTTAATAATAACAATAATAGAAGAAAATTAAACGACCTCGCAGAGTAGTACATAAATTCAATATAAATCTTTCTCCCAATTTCATCGATGAGCAAAGATAATCATCGTTGGTATTCCATAAAGAAAAGGTTATTCGGAGGTTATCATTGTTTTTATTTCTTAAGTAATAATAATAATGAAGTAACGATACACGCGACGATTGCTCCACGGTTTTAATGGAAACGATGACAAAGCATTACAATTCTGGGTCATAAATCGATTGAATCCCTTGTCGTCGGTTTTAAAAAACGCATTAGTCCTTGTTACGCCCATGACCACGGGCCAGCGCTGCCGGCGTACACTCGAATCGCGTATATTCGCATCCGTATGGGCGCGCACGCATGAGACGTTTCTGTGTAACGATGCGCCTAACCTCCCCACCGCGGGAGCGTAAACGATGTTTCCATCGTCCGTAGATCGCGTATCCGATTCGACGGGATATAATACCTGGAGCCTGGTCTCTGTGGTGCAAGAAGCCATGGAATCGAGATCGATCGAAGCAGCCAGGGAAAAAAGGTTTATCGAAACGACGAAGCCGAGAGAGGTTGTCCCGAAGCATCAATCATCCTGTGACAGAAACGGCATAGCACCGGCCACGATGCTTCGTGGACAGCTATTAATAGTTCATTGCACGGTTAAGTATGATGTGTACTTAAGAGGCGCGGTGCGAAAACCTCGATAGACGCCAAGTCGATATGCCACGCTGCGAATCGATCAGTACCAGCAGCCGATTCGAAGATTTATTTCGGTCAAAACGAACTTCACCTGCTATAGTACGTTTCAGGGAAGTCGATGTTGGTTGTAAACAGAGCTTGTCACATGCAGCCATGCAACACAGATGTGTAACGCGGGATTTTCTTTAGATACACTTAATCTTATAGATAATGTATTTGAGGTTAGATCAGACGCTGCACTTGGCTAAACTACTTTTCACAATTGTATCATATTATGTCACATGGATAAATACTTTCATATATGTAGATACATGGATAAATAAACAAGTAAATATAAAACACCGTTAATGGAAAGGGTGCGCCTCGAAATAGGCAACCGTTGAACTCGTCAAGTAAAACCGAACGCATAATTGGGTTTGGAGCGACATAAGAAATGACTTTATATCGCAATGGTTAAACAGCTATACTTCCGGTAAATACTTAGGCCATCCTATTCGAGATTCTTGTCGTAGAAACGCGAACGGAAGAATTCGTGGATAATGGAAAAAAGTGAAACTTGTCTCGAACAAGGTGTAAAAAGAACGAATCGAGTATGATTCGAATCCAATTACCGGAGAGTATCTACAGATTAACGCAGAATAAAAGGTCTAGTTCGCATCGCACCTAATTTCATTCTTCCATAGATAACGAAGTACGCTCCAGTTTCAATGGAAAAAAATGTAATAACCGGACTTACCCCATAATTAACTCGATGATCTGTATTATCTTCTAATGGTAGCCTATGCGGTGACGCCATCCGACGGAAGCTGCACGAACATGAATCTTCCATGGACTCGGGTACCCGCCACCTCGCAATTACGTTTTAAATACTTTGCGATTAACGTCGTATGTCCGTCCAATTACTGGGGTTCGGACAAAAAAGTACTAAGACTATCACAAATACAATCATTATTTATTTCTGATAAAAAGTACCATAGTACCAATTCTAGCCACTAGATAGTGGAGCAATCACAATATACAAAGGTGAAAGGACAGAAAATTATGGAACTTTAAAAGTTTTTCGAGAGATGCAGGAGGTGAATTCATTTTTCACTTATGATTTTATTTATTATATTAATATTCCGCCAAATGATCGTGACGTCTAAATACTCAAAAAAACTTTCATTTTTGTTTACAGTGTCCGAGAGCTACAGCAGTTACGTGAACTCAATGTACGCTAGCGGAGGCCAATTCGCGACCCCTTGCACACCGAGTCCCCCAAGAGGTCACGGTGGCGTCCCGACGAGCGTGATCCAAGCAGCCACCAGCTCGGTTTCCGACGATCTGTACCTTCTGGAGTTGGGCTTCCCTCCACGGTCGAAGAAGAACAAGTTGAAGAAACCGCGTCAAGGGGACGGCGCAGCGGTGAAGAGGAAATCTCGGGAGGGCTCGACCACGTACCTGTGGGAGTTTCTGTTGAAATTACTGCAAGACCGAGATTACTGCCCACGATACATCAAGTGGACGAATCGCGAACGAGGCGTCTTCAAGCTCGTCGACAGCAAGGCAGTGTCTCGCTTGTGGGGTCTGCATAAAAACAAGCCGGACATGAATTACGAGACCATGGGCCGTGCCCTGCGTTACTATTACCAACGTGGCATTCTGGCGAAAGTCGACGGACAGAGGCTGGTCTATCAGTTCGTGGACGTGCCGAAGGATATCATAGAAATCGATTGTACCGGCGCGTGAGATAGGGCTCGACCCACAAGGGAACAGCACGAGGGAGCACAAGCTGTACGGGAAAAGAGTCGTTCGCGTATTCACACCGCGATCGTTTGCAAGATGACACCGTCGAGCATCTCTTCCTACCACGATTTGCCAACTTGGCACACCCCTCAGACGATCTAAAAACCATACGCCCTCTCTCTGACTTCGTTTGTTCCTTGTATTATATATGTATACCTATAGAGATGTATATTAACGAAGTGCGCGCGAGTACGGACGCTGCCGCGAGAGGATGAATGTTTTATCGACGCGTCGAGTTGCGCCAAACGGTATACGAAGCACGTGTACCGTAACAGAAATTTCGTCCTCCTTTGGTCTTTCTTTCTTTTTTTTTTGTTTTTTTTTTTGTTACTTTTTGACAATCGATACGTCGATGGTAATCGTACTAAGCTTTACAACGTTTATATATATAGAGAAGTATATATACATGTGTAAGTATATATATATGCGTTGAGCTCGTTCAAATTTGTACAAAATTTAGTTCTTAAATGATGAAAAAGGATGATGCTACGGCACAAAGTGTTATTAAATGTATTTTAATCAAGAGAGAAAAAGATGAATCTAGTATGGACAAATTTACTTAAACGTAAAGTATAGTCGGGAAGTATAGGCGAACAATTGTACATTCGAGAGCGCGATAAATTATTTATTGTATATTAGACGATTATATATGTTACCTAGAAAAGAAAAGAAGAAAATTGTTATATAACGTGTCGACGAATGGGAAATATGAGAAAAAGAGGAAGAAACGAGACACACAACACGTACACACACGCAACGTGGAAAGATCTTTTTTTTTTAAAAAGGTGAAAAGAAAAAAAATATAATGAAACGAAATGAGGGCTGTGAAAAGATTCAGAAACGGAAGAATGGATAGAGTGAAAACGATGAACGACGTTTAACAAGTTTCATGGAGCGAGCTCAGGGAGGGGTACACTCAACACACACCATTTGCACCCAGGCATACACACACACACGCGCGCGCGTACACACTATATTTTTTTAAATATAAGCGAAACGGGCGACTCTTCTATTTGAGCTGAGGGTTCAACAACGTAAGGTGCTGGCTATACACACGAGGTCCAAGAATGTTATTTAGCAAGCTAGTGTTACTAATTCATAAAAAAAAAGATTATTGAAACAGACATTATATATCTCTGTATATATAAAGTACACCTTTAGTATATATTATTGAATATTATATATATATATATTATATGAATATATATTGTATGTTATGTAGTAAAATGGAGCGAGTTAATGTGTCTCTATGAGATTTTTCCGTCACGTCAATGTATGAGGATGTTGCGTGCAACCGTTTTCGTACGATGTCTCTGTTCTTTTTACTCGAGAAACGAACAACGTTCGGAAACACATTCGTTTCTTTTTCTTTGTTTCTTTATTTTTTTTTTTTTTTTACACTTCGACGGGCTCGATACGCACGCCCTATAACGCACACTTTTATGCTCATACGAGTACTTGGCATGCTCATACGAATCAGAGACATCGTACCTTTAACCCATTTATACGCAAACACAATGAAGACATTCGATTCGAAAAAGCTTGTAAACAGTACATACATATAATGAGTCATGAATTACAATCATGTTTTATTCCGCGTAATTGTCAAATATTTCTAATGGTAATGTTTTAAATGGGTTGAATCGGTCCTGTCCATAGGTGGAGATCTTCAGACGGTTTTATCTCCCTTGATTTGTTTGCGTTGCGATTACATCGGACACGAAAACGTAACGAGGCATTCGATTATGTCGTAATTCGTGTACCACGGCAAGGAAGACAAAGTGTGGGTGGAACTGTATTGCTGTTGGTAGCAACTCTGGACAGGACTGTGCGTATCAAGGCTAATGTGACCAGATCTGTGAAATTCCAATGCTGCACAAGCTGAAACTTACCTTTCACCCTCTCGTCGCGCAGTTGAACTGTACGAAGTATCAGTAGAGCGGATGATTGCGAGCAATACATTTGGAATCAGCGTGTACGCATCCAACTGCCAAATATTTAAAATCCGGGGAAATTGTTGATACGTGAAACGTCCTGGACGTCTGGTCACATTATTCGAGCGTAGTGTTAGCCTATCCAGGCACACATGGGGCGTTCGAACGCGATAAGTTAGAGTGAAATTTAATTTATTGACGACACCCCGCCCCCCCCCCCCCCCCACCCAACAACTCCGCCGCCCAAAAGGACGTGACGTACGAGTGCAAGCGTATCCTGTAGATAATAAGTTTTTGTACATAAAAGATTCGTTGAGAACATACTTAGGAAGAACATCGCGCTGGTTAACGTTCGTAACTGTGGAGAAAAATGAGAAACGAAGGATTGGAAACGGAGGGAAAGGACGGGAGATGGAGAGAGCGAAGCGATGCTTCGAGAGGATTCACGGTTTGCTCTCTGATCGCAGTTCTTTGACGATCACCTCGAAACGAATTTCAAAGATGAAAGGAAACACAGTGAATAATAATAATAATAATAATAATGAAAATAATAATAATAATAATAACAATATGAAAAAAAGAAAACGATCAAGTGCTGCCAATAAATGCCTGTAAACGGTCCCCTTGCATTTTCTGCCACTTAAGAGAAAGAAACATGTAAGAGTAAAATATACTACGCGCGTTGTTAGAATCAAGAGAAATGCGTTGGGACGCCAGACATACCGATGATACAAAGCGAATTGCCTTCTCGTAATTAACAAAGACGTGTTGCCTTCTAACAAAGAAAACATATTAAAAAAAAAGTTCTAGCAATTTGTATCGTAAAATACCATCGACTTTGTCCAGAGTACTTAAATAAACCTCACAAACACCCCGTGTATATCCCCTTTGTCAGCATAGAGATTTTGTAATTTTTGTCAAGAGTAACGAAAAACGTACGAAAAAAAAAAAATTGAAAAAAAAAAATATTCAGAAACATTTTTGGTACACAAAGACTTTTTCATATCGCACTCTTTGCATACGCGTATCGGACGAAATAATATATTTAAAACGTATAAGATATAAGTAAGAGGGAGAGTTAGAAAAAAAAGAAAAGAGTATACAGCAGAGTACAATGGACAAAAAAAGCAAGTACCTATAAATAGTACCACTTCTATATACGATAACATCCACTTATAAACAATGAACAAGATGACACTGCAACAAGAAATCCTATTTTTAGGTGAATTAAATTTACATAATACATAACGATTGACTACGCTACAAGATATTTTAACAGATAAGACTTTACTGTAATAGGGATAAATCTATGATTATTTACCTGTAAAATAATACGAAGACACGATGGATTGACGTAAGGAACTCTAATGTAACGTTCTGTGATTCGTTGTTTGTAGGTGAAATTTAATAAAAGATTACTGTATCATAAACAATATTTTTCCCGATTAATTTCTGTAAATAAACACATGTAAAATTGGTTCTGTTTTGGAATATAATGCACATATACCCAAGTACACTCGGGTTAAAGTGTTAAATGGTTAAAAAAAGAGAGCAAGATAAAATCTAATTAACAAGTTTTCGAATGCCATTCTCTCTTAGCAGGTATGTACTCATAAAGGTGATTACGACGCTGCAATGACATAATGCTTATATATAAAGTCGATTGATAAAGCGCGCTCTCTGAGATGGTGGTTCATTCGTTCACCGTCCAATTGACCGACCAATCACCGACGTGGATTCGTTCCATGGATAGCGTTCCATTGGCTGCTCTTGCAAGTAACCTCGCAGTCGGTATCGAACCACGACGAACGAAAGTTGTCATTCTGTGCGTCAGATTCCGGAAAATTGTTTAAGGTATTCATCAGTTTTCCATTGTTTCGGATAAAAGTAGTTGAGACAATTATACGAATCGATAGTTATCACGATTGTTAAGAAAGAAACATGTTATCGAGGATGTAATTATTGATTTCACAGCAACGATCGACGTTGCCACACCCCGTGGCCATTTTGGACAGAAGCGATTGTTCCACGAACTCTGTACGATAAATAACGTTCACTATGGATCAGATCACACCCAAGGAGGTGAAAATCTTGGAAAATCCTGAGGATATTCAGGAGAGACGAGAACAGGTTCTGAGTCGGTACGCGAACTTTAAGACAGAAGCTCGTAATAAGAGAGACAAGCTCGAGGACTCCCGTCGCTTTCAGGTATGCATTTTTAACTTTCTATTTTTTTCCATTCGTTACATTTATTAACGAAACCTTTTTGTTTGTAGTATTTTAAGCGAGATGCGGACGAACTCGAAGGATGGATTTACGAAAAACTGCAAGCTGCTTCAGACGAAAGTTACAAGGATCCAACGAACCTTCAGGCGAAGATACAAAAACATCAAGCGTTCGAAGCAGAGGTTGCAGCCCATTCCAATGCCATAGTGTCGCTCGATAATACTGGATCAGAGATGATAGCCCAACATCACTTTTCAAGCGATGTCATTCGTAAACGATTGGGTACGTTCTTATTGTTACATTTTGTTTGTTCAATCTTTTATAATATACCAGATAAACTTTTAGTAATATAAATTACAATTGTTCTTACAGAGGATCTTCATCGTCTGTGGGAGTTGTTGCTCGCTCGACTGGCAGACAAGGGTCTTAAACTGCAACAAGCACTAGTTCTTGTTCAATTTCTTCGGCATTGTGACGAAGTAATGTTCTGGATCCATGACAAAGAAGCATTTGTAACAACCGATGAATTTGGACACGACTTAGAACATGTCGAAGTACTTCAGAGGAAATTTGACGAATTTCAGAAGGATATGGCTAGCCAGGAATACAGAGTGACAGAAGTAAACGAGCTGGCAGACAAGCTTCTCTTAGACGGACATCCTGAGCGCGACACTATCCTGCGCAGAAAAGAGGAACTCAATGAGTCCTGGCAAAGATTAAAACAGCTTGCTGTTTTGAGACAGGAAAAACTGTTTGGCGCGCATGAGATCCAGAGATTTAATCGAGACGCGGATGAAACAATGGCTTGGATCGCGGAAAAAGATGTCGTCCTTTCGTCAGACGATTTTGGACGCGATCTCGCGAGCGTACAGACATTACAGAGAAAACACGAGGGAATCGAACGCGATTTGGCAGCTTTGGAAGACAAAGTGTACACACTGGGAGCCGAGGCTGATCGTCTGGCAGCCATTCATCAGGCGGATCATTCAAAACAGATTCAAGCCAAACGCGCTGAGATTTTGCAGTCGTGGGAAAGTCTTACCGCGAAAGCAAAAGAACGACGCTTAAAACTCGACGAGTCTTACTATTTGCACAGATTTTTGGCAGACTACAGAGATCTGGTTTCATGGATGAACGATATGCGCGCGATTATATCCGCGGACGAATTAGCCAAAGACGTAGCTGGCGCGGAGGCTCTCGTTGAGAGACACCAAGAACATAAAGGAGAAATCGATGCTAGAGCCGATAGCTTCGATGCAACCACATTGGCTGGTAATAAACTCCTGGAAAAGAAACATTACGCTGCAGAGGAAGTAGCTATAAAGTTAAATTCTCTCGCGGAAGATAAGCAATCACTCTTGAGCCTTTGGGAAAAACGAAGAATTTTGTATGAACAGTGTATGGACTTACAGTTATTCTATCGTGACACAGAACAAGCGGACGCATGGATGGCCAAACAAGAAGCGTTTCTTGCGAACGAAGATCTGGGAGACTCTCTCGACAGCGTAGAGGCTCTTATCAAGAAACACGAAGATTTTGATAAATCTTTGGCGGCACAAGAAGAAAAGATCAAAGTGTTGGACGATTTCGCCGGCAAGCTAATCGAAGGGGAACATTACGCGGCGGACGACGTGGCTCAAAGACGTCAATTTCTGTTGGAGAGACGCGCTATTCTCTTGGAGAAATCTGCTCAGAGAAGACGTCGCCTGGAAGACGCGTACAAATTGCAGCAATTCGAACGCGACTGCGACGAAACGAAGGGTTGGGTCAACGAGAAACTGAAATTCGCCACCGACGACAGCTACTTGGATCCCACGAATCTAAACGGGAAGGTGCAAAAGCATCAAAACTTTGAGCAAGAATTGAATGCCAATAAAACTCGCATGGAGGAGATGGTAGCCACTGGTCAGGAGCTGATCGAAAGCGATCACTATGCCAGCGATCGAATTCGTACACGCACCGATGAGATCATGAGACTATGGGAATGTCTTACGCATGCCACCGAAAAGAAAGGCGCGAAATTACAAGAAGCTTCTCAACAACAGCAATTCAATCGTACCGTCGAGGACATCGAACTTTGGCTGTCGGAGGTCGAGGGTCAACTTATGTCAGAGGACTATGGCAAAGATTTAACCAGCGTGCAAAATCTTCAGAAGAAACACGCACTGCTCGAGGCAGACGTCGCATCTCATTCGGACCGAATTGAGGGTATAACACAGGCCGCGGAGCAGTTCATCAAATCGGGTCATTTCGACGCGAACAACATTAAAGTAAAGCAGGATCAGTTGCAGGGACGATACTCCGCTCTTCAGCGACCGATGAGTCTCCGCAAACAACGACTCCTTGACTCTCTCCAGGTTCAACAATTGTTCAGAGACATTGAAGATGAGGAGGCATGGATTCGCGAGAAAGAACCGGTAGCCGCGTCCACCAACCGTGGCCGCGATCTCATCGGTGTGCAGAACTTGCAGAAGAAACATCAGGCTGTGCTGGCAGAGATAAACAATCACGAGCCACGCGTGGCAGCCGTTTGCCAAGCAGGAGCTACTATGCTCCAAGAAAATCATTTCGCCGCTGAGGAAATCAGTCAACGATTGGCTGCTTTGGACGAGCACTGGGGACAACTGAAGGAGAAGGCTCGTCAGCGCAAGAACGATTTGGACGATTCTCTCCAGGCGCATCAGTACTTTGCGGACGCAAACGAAGCAGAGTCCTGGATGAAGGAGAAGAGACCCATCGTTATGAACGCAGACTACGGAAAAGACGAGGACAGTTCCGAGGCTCTCTTGAAGAAACACGAAGCATTGGTCAGTGACTTGGAGGCGTTCGCCAGCACTATAGCAGCGCTCAGAGATCAGGCTGCGTCCTGTCGCCAACAGGAAACGCCCACTATCGACATTACCGGCAAAGAATGCGTCGTTGCTCTGTACGACTACACCGAAAAATCACCGCGCGAAGTTTCTATGAAGAAGGGCGACACTTTGACGCTCTTAAACTCCAACAACAAGGACTGGTGGAAGGTCGAAGTTAACGACCGTCAGGGCTTCGTTCCAGCCGCGTACGTGAAGCGAGTCGAGCCCGAAGCGGGACTTAGCGCTTCCCAACAGAATTTAGCCAGAGAACAGAGCTCCATCGCTGCCAGACAATCGCAGATCGAAGGCCAGTACGACGATCTTTTGAGACTAGCGCGTGAACGACAGAACAAGCTGAACGAGACGGCCAAGGCTTACGTGCTGGTGAGGGAAGCCGCGGAACTGGCCACCTGGATCAAGGATAAGGAGAATCACGCTCAGGTTCAAGATGTTGGCGAAGATTTGGAACAGGTGGAGGTCATGCAGAAGAAGTTCGATGATTTCCAGGCGGACTTGAAGGCAAACGAAGTACGATTAGCTGAAATGAACGAGATCGCAGTTCAGTTGATGAGCCTTGGTCAAACGGAGGCGGCATTGAAGATTCAAACGCAGATACAGGATCTCAACGAGAAGTGGACCAGCTTGCAGACACTTACCGCCGAGCGGGCGAATCAGTTGGGCTCGGCCCACGAGGTTCAGCGATTCCATCGTGACGTCGATGAAACCAAAGACTGGATTCGCGAAAAGGACGCGGCGCTGAACAACGATGACCTTGGAAAGGATCTGCGCAGCGTACAGGCCTTACAACGCAAGCACGAAGGCCTCGAAAGAGATCTGGCTGCTCTCGGAGACAAGATCAAACAGTTGGACGAGACTGCTCAACGTCTGATGCAGTCTCACCCTGAGACCGCCGAGCAGACTTACGCCAAGCAAAAGGAGATCAACGAAGAGTGGACCCAGTTGACGGCGAAAGCCAACAGTAGGAAG